GACGTTTAGGATTCCAGCAACGTGACTCAGCACATCTCAGAAATGTGACCAAATATCTCTTTTTACCATGTGACTTCACATTAACGCAAATGAGAAAACAAAGTTGGAGACAACAGCTGCTATGGCTGACGGTACATCACGCACTGCGACAGTGAGCAGAATTTTACACGGACTGCTTCCCTTTTTACTTCAAGATAAAACACGAGTCTGTGCTGTTAACTTTACCGTAGGCCAAAACAAATATGATCCCACTTGAAATAACGTTACGACCCGTCTAAACTGATGTAATGTTACGTCACAGAGCAGACCAAGCTGGAGGGGAGGCACGCGTCAGTTTCTCAACATGTGCAAACTGCTTTCCAAAACCAAATACAGCTTTATGTTACATCACATCATTTACCGTAGAATATCATGACTGAAGTTAATATGTTAATGCCTTGGCCGCAGAGTAATTTAAATCACCGGGAGACTAATATCAAGGTTAGACTAGTTATTAACACAAACGTTAGCTAGTTTAGCCAACTCCCGTCACCAACACAGGCAAATGCTGATATAATATGAAGTAATTAACTTAGCTGGTGGATTTGTTTGGTCACCAGTTAAAACAAAACTATCTCTCCACATCATATTGCTAAATTAATTACCTTTTGCGGAGAAGGTCAAGCTGGACATGCGCTAGAGTTGCCACCCGTCCCGTTTTTCTCAGAATTGTTCTCTTTTTTCATCAGCTGTCCCAGGAAAAAAAAAGTCTCTCCTGGGACACAATTTGTCCCGTTTTTTGGGGAAAATGCAGCAGCAGCAGGCCAAGGAGATCATCCAGAATCAGTGCAACAGGCTCAAGAACATCTGTGTCAGAGAGACAACAAAGAGGTAAGAGGAGCTGTGGGAAGTCCTAACAGTTCACTTCGTATATTTGCACATCCAATCATGTTTTAATTTGTATTTTTTCCATTTATATTTAACCCTATGGGCCCGAACGATGCATAGTGCGTCCAAATTCACACCTGTTCTTCTCTATGGTTTTTCTCCGCGACCGTGCATCATAGCGAGAAGCCATGCATATCATGTTAAACAGCGGAATCGTAGCTTTCCGAATGTTTTCACAGCGAAAAAAAAGGATAAAGTTACACTAAAATTATGTCTAACAGAGCTTTCATACAGCTTTGCACACACATTACTCTTGGATGGATTACTCGCGAATGCAGGGTCGCACAGAAACTCCACGCATATCACATGAAAGTACAGGACTAGAGCTTTCCAGTGATACCACACACATTCTGACATCTCTCCAATTTGTGCATGTATAGGTCCTGTTTGTGCATGTGTGTGTCTTTCGGACCTGTGTGTAATTGACAAGCAAGAGTGAAAACATTGAATTTCCCCTCAGGGGGATTAATAAAGGAAATAAACTTAAACTTAAAACTTAAACTTAAATCATTGTGCTGCCATCCCATCACGCTATAAATACAGATCAAGTGTCTACCAAATAAAATCCTGACGAATTTCTTTACAATCCATTATACAGATCTTGTTATCAGTCACTTCATATAGTGAGGAATATCATATCTTACCACGTCTTAGTCTTGCGTGTGTTTCTCCCTGTCTATCCACATTTGTAGTCCGGCTTTCAAGATGCAAATATCTCCATATTGTCCAGTTGACACTTCATCAAACTTTTTATGACAAGACCAGTGCACTTCACCTTTGCGCACCCAAACAACTGAGGCCTAATTATGCATGCATGACAGGGCCGTAGTCACCATATACATTGAGGGGGACATGTGCCCCCCCAATGCCCAATTTTTTTTTTTTTTACTGCAATCAAAGTGGCAAATATTATTTTGGAGGACATCATTGCACTTGGTTGACTATTTTTCTATTATGTTAGATGTAAATATTGCATGTTTCTTTCACATAAAACACATTTTTGACTTGTGAATGAGTCAATGGAATTTCTTGCAATAATGAAAAAATACTGGCAATCATGTCTGCCTGGCACAAACCACATGTTTTGGACAGCTGTGAAGTGACAGAATGTCCCAGCATCATGGTTCTTATATTGCCAGATTCCAGAGAGTCTCCCCTCTTCATATATGGCAGAATATGTCAACTTCCAACTTGCTATGGTGAGATACATGTAAAAATGTAAGAATTTAGTAACACAGATTTGTTTTTTTCATTGATATAAAAATTAATATAAAATACAGGCACATAGAAGGATATGGAATGATGGCAAATCTGGTCTCCTATGTCTGAATTTCATGTTCATTGGTCAGTCTGAACTGGTAATAATGGCCGAGCCCTCCGCCTCAAGCATTTGGTCGAGTGTCCCTTTTTTTCACAAATCCAAGGTGGCAACCCTAACATGCGCACATTTTAAGCTAGGTATTCACTAGGTCACGTAAGCCATCTTGAATTTGGTGTTTAGATACAAAACACACTCAAATACGGGGGCCAACAACACAATGTTCTCCTTAAACACCATTTCTGTTGAAATGCCAACATAAAATTGGGTTAATATGTGAAAATAAGAAACTTACCGCAGTCATTTGACGGGGAGAAAAATGGTGTCCAGAAAAATCATCCACAGGTTGAAGGAGGCAGAGGTGGGCGGGGCTTTCCAGAGTCAAATTATCACGACGTCTTTTAACTCTAATTTTCACCAACACTAGGGGGCATTCTACTCAATCTGTTGTAATAACTGAAAGAGTCAGTGAACTTTGACAATGCATATTTAACACCGCAAAATTTACTGTGTAGCTAGCTAACAAGCAACCAGACAACGGTAACGTTAGCTAGCTGGCTAGCTTTCTGTCAATTCCAATCTAGACATTGTAATTAGCAATAAAAAAAATGTTAAACTCTACACAAATACACAGTTATTCGAAAATGTTTCTACAAAAGTTACATGTTTATTTGCGAAATTATACGTACATGTATGAACTTTTTTCCCCGTCTCTTGCTCTGTGGTAGCCATGGCGACGTCTACCCCTCACTGGCAAGTCAGCATCTGAAATCCCTCGCTCCAAAGGGCTAGTTTCATACCCACTACCCGTCATTATGCCCCCTACCCCTACACACAAAAAGGAATTGGGACACCCCTACCCCTCGCGGGAACGCGCAAATCTAGGGGTAGGGCCAAGGGGTAGGGCTAAGGGGGGGTATTGGGACAGGCCCTAAAAGTAAAAATCGGAATGGAATTCTACCCACCATCATAAATAAGAATCAGAAACAGTTTGATTGCCAAGTAGGTTTGCATATACAAGGGCTTGGCTTGGTGATTTGGTGCATAAAAAACAGTGGATAAAGTCAAGAGAATGAAAGTAAATTGTCATGTAACATTTGTTTAAGTTTAGAACCCCCTGCGGACTATTTCTGGTATGACTTTAGAGTGAAGGCACTTAGGAAACTGCCTCCTTCTTGTTTTAATTAGTTAAAACAAATGTGTCCTAGGTCATAGTTAGTTTCGGCCATCTTTGTTTTGAACTCACATGGTTTTTAGCCTACCTCCATCTGTTTGTGTAGCCTTGGAGAAGCATCATTTGTGAGTGAACTATTTATTTATACCATGCGACATTACTGATGTACAAGTCAAATCATTTTTTTTACATGTTGATGATTGCTTTGTAATGCTTTGTGTATATACTTTACAGAGTCATCATTCAAGCCTCTTAGACTGATCGTTTAGCTTTCTGTCTATGTGTGCACATCAGTCACCCATACAGAAAGAAAGAAAGACTATAAATATGTCTCCATATCCACCTGGCTGATTTGCATACTTTGACGGGCCACCTTACTATGTTAATGTCAAGGTACAGCCGGTTTCTAGTTGTGTCTTCATCTTCACTTAATCTTCTCTGACCTTTTCTGCACTTAGTAGCTATTTCAATTTAAAATGACATGTGCTATAATGACAGTTTATAGTTGACAGTGCTGTCTCCTGCTTTGATGTTGAGTGAACACACATTTTTAAACCTTGGTGATCAAGATCACACCTCACACCTGTTGTTTGTCTTATTTGGAAAAGAAATGATGGACTCGGCACTGCATCAGCACTATGTGGACCCACAAGAGAAATCAAAGCACAGTTTATTCCAGCGGCTGACTGCAGGTCATGCTGGAATTTACTGCAACCAGTCTTTATTATTTTTCTTTGGTGTGAAAAAACTTAACTGATCATTAGGTGAGGAGTATGTTTGATCAGGTGCAGCAGTCCACACAACCCTGTCTGCTTTTGCATTCTCTCATGTCCCCAAATCAGAGACTGAGGTGGTGCTGCAGACCTACAATAAGATAGAAGGTAAAGGTATTTACTGGTACTTGCTGAAGTAATCAAGTATCGTTTTTTCGTTTATGAAAATTGGTGATTTTATGACACATAAGTAACACGTTAGGACACATAAATAATGTTGAACAGGCAGAAACAGGACAAAAACAAAACTCCTTGTATCATATGAGAGGGATTAAAGTATGTTTGACTGTGGAAATACATAAAGTAGGACTCAAACACAACTGCCCTCCAGTTTATCGTTTTCACTTTCTGTACTTTGAAATCATACTAATGTCACATACGTACTATCTCAAGTTTGCATTACAACTAGATGGCTCCAGAGATCAGTGAGAAGCAGATCGAGACCCATCTTTTTCAAAAGGTCTCGGCCTTGTTGTTTGGTCAGCACCAGAGCTTGAATGTCCACCAGCAAACACAAGTGCACATACTTTTTGCTTCACTGTGCTGAAGTGCAAGGAAAGGTACACTGCTGAGTGGATTGATCTTATTCAATTATTAAGTCCTATTTGTTTTCCCTCGTCCTGTGGTGGATGTTCTCACTGTCGTCTCGGAGCAGAAAACACAGTTTTTTGAGGGATTTGACATAAACTATGGCTAATAAATTACCTGTACCCATCTACTCTAAAAAGAATGAAAAAAGACAGTAAAAACTGAAACTGATCCATCAACATATTACAACACCTGCACAGTTTGTGGGTCCTGTACTTACAGGTGGCAGGTTTGTTACAGTTGTGTCCATGTCTGAAGTACTGTGGGTTCTCTATGATGGGGATCCTGGTCATTCCAATCACCACAGCATCAGGCCCTGCATCCAGTGCACAGGGGCTGATTATTCCATGGTTCACATGATGAAGGGGGCTGGCAGAGTCTTCCTCACCGCTTATCACTGTTACTGGTCCTAAAAAGACAAAATCACAGACTGACCACCTGTAGGTGAAACAAAAGCCAAAACTTGAAGAAAAATATATAACTTTATAATATCAAGCTAAATATGCAAAATGCTAGTTCAATTTCTTTATACAGATACTGGTTTGTACTGTAATAGAAAAAGAGGGATGGATGGACTGCAAAGGTTAACAATGGAGCACATGTGAGCCGTGTAGCAATAAAACCACAGCAACACTTGTATTTTTAAACTGTGAACCAAACCAAGGTTGTTTGGGACTGAAACATATGAAGCATACAACCCCAAACTGATTGAATACAAAACCTGTTTATTGATTCTAACCTGGACTTGTTATGTCTTACCGAGAGCTTGCTTAACTGTGGCATTCCATCAGACTTAGTAAATATTTCAGGATACACTTGATTTAGCAGTAAAATCAGGGATTCCAAAATGAAAGACTGCAGACTTTGAAAGAGAACTGATGCAAATGAACTGGGATACAGTAACAGAAACACCCCTTTGAACACCTGCTGCTAAAACATGGAAGAGTACCCCAAAAGGAAGCTCACTTCCTTAGTTTGTTAATAATTGGCAAACTTTCTGGGGAAAACCTGGTCTTATTAGGAGAGACGGCATTCACCCCACTTTGGATGGAGCTGCTCTCATTTCTAGGAACCTGGCAAATTTTATTAGTAATTTAAATCCCTGACAACCCAGAGTTGAGACCAGGACAGAGAGTTGCAGTCCTAAACGCCTCTCTGAGCTTCTAGTTCAGTTACCCAGCCATAGTTTTCATAGTTTTATACAAACGGTGTCTGTCCCCCGACCACCTAAATTATTTAAATCTAAAATTAAACAAAGAGGAGTTGTGCATAACAACCTCATAAAAATTAAAACCTCTTCTGTGACAGAAAGACAAAACAGGAGAATTAAATGCGGACTGTTAAATATCAGGTCTCTATCGTCTAAAGCAGTGTTAGTAAACGAATTAATATCAGATAATCATATTGATTTACTCAGTCTCACTGAAACCTGGCTGTGTCAAGATGAATATGTTAGTCTAAATGAGTCCACTCCTCCCAGTCATAATAATACCCACATTCCTCGAGGCAGCGGCCGAGGAGGGGGAGTTGCAGCCATTTTTAACTCTAGTCTGTTAATCAGCCCTAAACCTAAACTAGATTATAATTCATTTGAAAGCCTCGTTCTTAGTGTTTTACATCCGACCTGGAAAACCTCGCAGCCACTTTTATTTGTTATAGTGTACCGTGCTCCTGGCCCGTATTCTGAATTTGTATCTGAATTCTCAGAGTTTTTATCCAGTTTAGTTCTTAAATCAGATAAAGTTATTATTGTAGGCGATTTTAACATTCATGTCGACGTTGATAATGACTCCCTGGCTACCGCGTTTATCTCATTAATAGACTCCATTGGCTTCAGTCAGGGTGTACATGAACCCACTCACTGTTTTAACCATACCCTCGATCTAGTTCTGACGTATGGAATTGAAATTGATAACCTAAAAGTCTTTCCACAGAATCCCTTGCTATCAGATCATTATCTGATTACTTTTGATTTCTTTTTACTCGATTACACGCCACTCAGCAACAGTTACTATACTAGATGTTTATCAGATAGTGCTGTCACAAAATTTAAGGAAAAGATTACTTCGTCGTTAAATTCAATACCAATACCTTCAGTAACAGAGGTTTCCCGTGCCGACTTTAACCTCTCCCAAATTGATCATTTTGTTGATAGCGCCGTAGGCTCGCTGCGAACAACGCTCGACTCTGTAGCTCCTCTTAAAAAGAAGTTAACAAAGCAAAGAAAGTTTGCTCCTTGGTATAACTCTCAAACCCGTAGGTTAAAACAAATATCGCGAAAATTTGAAAGGAATTGGCGATTAACCAAACTGGAAGAATCTCGTTTAATCTGGACAGACAGTCTCAAAACTTATAAGAGGGGCCTCCGCAATGCCAGAGCAAACTATTACTCAGCATTAATAGAAGAAAACAAGAACAACCCCAGGTTTCTTTTCAGCACTGTAGCCAGGCTGACTGAGAGTCAAAGCTCTATTGAGCCTTGTATTCCTTTAGCCCTTAGCAGTAATGATTTTATGAGCTTTTTTAATGACAAAATTCTAACTATTAGAGGCAAAATTCATGACCTCCTGCCCTCAGATGGTAGGCCTACCTATCTAACCTCAAACACAGCTGTAGAATCTAATATATATTTAGATTGCTTCTCCCCAATTTCTCTTCAAGAATTGACCGCAGTGATTTCTTCATCTAAATCATCAACGTGTCTCTTAGACCCCATCCCAACTAGGCTACTTAAGGAGGTCTTTCCTTTAGTTAACACTCATATATTAGATATGATCAATATATCCCTATTAACAGGCTATGTACCACAGTCTTTTAAGGTAGCTGTAATTAAACCTCTCCTAAAAAAGCCCACCCTGGATCCAGAGGTGTTAGCCAACTATAGACCAATATCTAATCTTCCCTTTATGTCAAAGATCCTTGAGAAAGTAGTCGCAGACCAGCTGTGTGATTTTCTCCAGGATAATAATTTATTTGAGGAATTTCAGTCAGGATTTAGAGTGCATCATAGCACTGAGACAGCTCTAGTTAAAATTACAAATGACCTTCTGATTGCTTCAGACAAAGGACTCGTCTCTGTTCTTGTTTTATTAGATCTTAGTGCGGCGTTTGACACAATTGACCATCAAATTCTACTGCAGAGACTGGATCACTTAATTGGCCTAAAAGGTTCAGCACTAAGCTGGTTTAAATCTTATTTATCTGATCGTTTTCAATTTGTTGACGTTCGTAATGAATCATCCTTACGTACCAAAGTTTGTTTTGGAGTTCCGCAAGGTTCTGTGCTCGGACCAATCCTATTTACTCTATATATGCTTCCTTTAGGTAACATCATTAGAAATCACTCTATAAATTTCCATTGTTATGCGGATGATACACAGTTGTATTTATCGATGAAGCCAGAAGAAAGTAATCAATTAACTAAACTCCATAACTGCCTTAAAGACATAAAAAATTGGATGAGCACCAATTTCCTGATGTTAAATTCAGACAAAACTGAAGTTATTGTTCTTGGCCCCAAACAACTCAGAGACTCTTTATCTGATGACATAGTTTCTCTAGATGGCATTGCTCTGGCCTCTAGCACTACCGTAAGAAACCTCGGAGTAATATTTGATCAAGATTTGTCTTTTAATTCTCATTTAAAGCAAACCTCACGGACTGCATTTTTTCATCTGCGTAATATTGCGAAAATTAGGCCTATCCTGACCCGAAAAGATGCAGAAAAATTGGTCCACGCTTTTGTTACCTCAAGGCTGGATTACTGTAACTCTCTATTATCAGGTAGCTCTAGTAAGTCCTTAAAAACTCTCCAGCTAATTCAGAATGCAGCAGCACGTGTACTAACAGGAACTAAGAAACGAGATCATATTTCTCCTGTTTTAGCTTCTCTGCACTGGCTCCCTGTAAAATCCAGAATTGAATTTAAAATCCTACTGTTAACTTATAAAGCTCTAAATGGTCAAGCTCCGTCATATCTTAGAGAGCTCATAGTGCCATATTATCCCACCAGAACACTGCGCTCTGAGAACGCAGGGTTACTCGTGGTCCCTAAAGTCTCCAAAAGTAGATCAGGAGCCAGAGCCTTCAGCTATCAGGCTCCTCTCCTGTGGAATCATCTTCCTGTTACGGTCCGGGAGGCAGACACCGTCTCCACATTTAAGACTAGACTTAAGACTTTCCTCTTTGATAAAGCTTATAGTTAGGGCTGGCTCAGGCTTGCCCTGTACCAGCCCCTAGTTAGGCTGACTTAGGCCTAGTCTGCCGGAGGACCCCCTATAATACACCGGGCTCCCTCTCTCTCCCTCTCTCTCTCTCTCTCTCTCTCTCTCTCTCTCTCTCTCACTCTCATCCTATTACTGCATCTTGCTAACTCGGCCATTCTGGATGTCACTAACTCGGCTTCTTCTCCGGAGCCTTTGTGCTCCACTGTCTCTCAGATTAACTCATATCGCAGCGGTGCCTGGACAGCGTGACGTGTGTGGTTGTGCTGCTGCCGTGGTCCTGCCAGATGCCTCCTGCTGCTGCTGCCATCATTAGTCATTAGTCATACTTCTACTGTTATTATACACATATGACTATTGTCACACATGTATACTGCCAGATATTAATACATACTTTCAACATATTGTACCACAGTAGCCAGAACTATAACTATAATATTATTACTTTCAATAATGTTGTTGTAAGCTACTGTCATTACCTGCATCTCTCTCTCTCTCTCTCTCTCTCTCTCTCTCTCTCTCTCTCTCTCTGTCTCATTGTGTCATATGGATTACTGTTAATTTATTATGCTGATCTGTTCTGTACGACATCTATTGCACGTCTGTCCGTCCTGGAAGAGGGATCCCTCCTCAGTTGCTCTTCCTGAGGTTTCTACCGTTTTTTTTCCCCGTTAAAGGGGTTTTTTTTGGGGGGAGTTTTTCCTTATCCGCTGTGAGGGTCTTAAGGACAGAGGGATGTTGTATGCTGTAAAGCCCTGTGAGGCAAATTGTGATTTGTGATATTGGGCTTTATAAATAAAATTGAAATTGAATTGAAATTGAGTTTGGTAAAGACATCTTGCAATTAATGAAATAAATGTGACTTTGCCTTTTAAAGGTCTCTAGCCACAAAGACTGATACTGACCATCTTATTGACACAGGCCGAAAAGACAAAGTTGTTAGTGAACTACACAAAGCTTAGATGAATAACTTCTCAAAATTTACTGAAGACACCAAAGGTAGTTGTGGAAGCACATCAAATGTTTAACTAACAAAAACACTCATAAGTATCAGAGAATAAAAGAGCTGAGAATAAACAACAAACTTGTCTCTGATAATGCAGTAATTGCACCTGAATTCAATGTTTTGCTTTTTCTTTTTTATATAGTTTGTAAAGGAACTCGTAAACAATTTTAAACCAGTAGA